AGTCTAACCGGCAGCGCAATTGGCGGGAGGGTGGGAAGTTGTCGGACCTTATCTTCTAAGAGCGTGCTCTAACCTATAAGACTATAATCCAATTACCAAATATAYGTTGCCATGTGATCGTTTAATCGAAATTACGTAGAACCATCGAATTGGAATACTCTGACTTACTGAATTATAGTCACTTCTATTCAGCTTATTATCTTCTTCATGATTTGTTTTCATATTTTACATGATAGCATATTATTTATTATTATTCATTTATTTGATAATATTATTGTTATTGTTATTATTTTGTTTTGACTTGTTGATACTGTTGATACCATCATTATCACTATCAATCGCAACAGTAGTATATTAAATGTATAATAGCTGTTATTAGATCATACTACTCGGTGTCGGTGAGAAGTGTGTCATAGTTGTCAGTTTTCAAGTTGCCACCAGAGAACGGTAATCAAGTAGGTATAATTAATTTTTATTCGCATTATATTATTATTTATTTTATAAATTAGGCATTATTTATTAATAAAAATATATCGAGTTCCGCTTAATGTGATCATTGGTTACTAGAATCAAATTTTTATTGGAATCAAATAAGATAAACCCAATCCTATTTGTCTGTTACGAATATCAAATTAAAATTGTATTAAGATCGCTATGTACCGTATAATTGAATTACTTTTATAAACATTTTTATCACATAATTTTATGGCGTTTAAACTGATTACTTTATTAGTCAAAATAAAATTGTATTTTTAAACTTATCGTCTTTTGTGTAATTTTTATAGTTCCTGTTTAAAATATTGTCTCTTATGTCACAACAAGAAAAAGGAAAGATTTATACCGATTTATCTATAAAAGAAAAAAAGGTTTACACTATTCTGATAATTTGGAAAAATKTTTGCAAAGAGAAATTGCTTCATTTTGGAAACTTCAGTTTATATACAACAAATTTTTAAAAAATGTATGCAAATTGCTGTAATAGTGTAATTTGAGAAAACAATTTGCTTTCCCCCCCAAAAAACAGATACAGAAAATTACATAGTATATGAATTAGTTTCAGGTTATTATTMAAATCAAATTAAAAATAATATTGAATTTTTTATTTTTATTTTAAATGTAATTTTTAAAAATTTTTAGTTAAATAAATTGAAATATAGAACTATAAAAAAAGTTTTATGGAATCAGCTAGTTAATGTCATTAAATTACTTGTTTAAAATGAGATTACATTAAGTAGAACTCTTCGCATATTATATTGGATAATTTAATACACTTATCTGTATTATTATGTTTAATTAGTATTTATTTTTATAATTATTGCTATTATAATTTACTGATGGCTCTTTTGGATTCTCTCCCAAATATAGGTAATCCCAAATAGGTAGGTGACCTTTTTCACTCAAATACTCTCAGTGTTTTTTGAGACAATTTKAGTATTGTATAATTAGTTTAGTTTATAATATGCATCAGAGGCGGTTTGAGTATACTGTTTTTGGTGCACTGCACCGCCAATGTTAGGGGGGTGGGTGGTCTTGGTTGAGCATGTGCTGACCGCAATGTTTAATTTTAATGTTCAATAAATGAAAAAAGTAATAAAGTACCTAATCAATGACATATGATRATCGTGGCTGAAACTATTGAAAGCGTCAAGTTAAGAATATAAGGGCCTTATAATTATAACTATAAACTTATTAAAAAATATTTATTTGTAATTTCTATTATGATGGTGGGGGGGGGGTGTCTATATATTGTCTTGCACCACTAAGTATAATACATTCAAACCGCCTCTGATATGCATTAGTAAGAATAATTTGATACACTTGTTTTTAAATATATATGTCTACATATGTATATGTTAAAGCTCATTTAGTTATGATAAGTGGACCAATTTTTTTTAAGCAACTTTATACTTACATTTTTCTCCTATCTCAAAAATTGACTAATTTACAGCRAATGGAATTTGAAATAAAAAAAGATTTTTGTTCAATTTTCAAAAATTTAAAACTATCTGTATTTTGTCATTATAAAATTATTTATGATTGAATATAGGGTACATGAAAGAGAGTAATATTAAGTCTATTTAAATTCAATCAAAGTTAAATATAATTAACTATTATTTAGTAAATATTACCAATTAACATTGATAAAATAAAAATAAATCACAAAAATAATCACTAGATTAATTCTAATCTCTAAAACTATTTTATTTTATTTTGTCAAATAAACTATAGTATGTTACTTGTCATGTGCTAAGAATAGTGTTTATTACCTGTGTATTCATAATATAAATCATACAATTAATAAAATTTTTTCAGTTAAGCTTATTAATATAATTGTTTTAAATTATAGCATTTGACTAAATACGGTTATTAAAATATAAAAGTTTTGACAAGTTATATGCTCATACGTGATTATTCAATTATAATCCATTCATTTTCGTATTAATATTTTACTACTTGTGTACTTTTTTTCATATACAAAATGGCTAGTCACACTGAAAGATTGAATATGGTATTAATTTTTAATGAGTATCACCGAAATTCCCACCATGCTGCACAGTTATACGCTGAAAAGTAATCCGATAAATATTAAGATATCAACCAGCACATAATCATTTTCTGCACCTTGAAAATCAAATCCGAACTTATGGTTCATTGGGAATTAGAGGCCATAGTCATCCAATTCAGCAACCAGAAATTCAAGATAACGAATAAATTGAAGTTCATTTACCCTGTATTCCATTAAAATGTATAAATGTATAGTGACAAAATACAGACATTTTTAAATATTTGAAAATTTCAACAAAAATCTTTTTTGTTTCAACTTACAATCGTTGTAAATCAGTCAATTTTTGAGATAGGATAAAAATGAAAGCATAAAAGTTGCTTAAGAAAAATAGATCTATCCAAATCTGGTGTTAAAAATACCTGTTGCTATTTGAAAAAATTAAAATTGTATTTTGCATATTGTGCAGATTTAAAAGTTTTAAAATTATTGTAAAATGTGTATTTCAGCATTCCATATAGCCCCTTGAAAACCCCATTTCAGTCCAACGTAACTGAACAGAAATATTTTGTGTTATCATTTGAGTGAAACAAACTATTTATGTTACGGTCCAAGTGTCATTGTCTTATTTTCCTTTTTTTATTTAAAATTTTTGTTTTCATTCAATTTTAATACTTGTAAATTTAATATAAATTCAACATATTTAAGTGTATAAGTATGTACTATTAGATTTTTAACATCTAAAATATTATTTAAACAATTAATGAATTTATTTTTCCTTTTAAACAACATGCATAAATTCTACACAATTATAACACACACATAAACGGCAGTATGTGTACTGTGTATAAGTACTGCCGGGTATGATAAATATGACTATGGAGAGTCACATGGTAATAATAATAATTTCGATATAAATTGTTTGTTATTGATGGACAACAATTAGCCATGGGGCTGAAACTCAAAAGTGAAAACTAACCAGGTAGTTAAGAAATTAAAATTAAACTAACTTCTTGATTTCACTTTATCTTTATTACTCATTAATGTTCATCCTATGTATATATTATTATATTATGTATATAGTATTACTATATTATAGTAATAWATTTATTATGTAACTATGTTCGTAACTGAAATATATTTATAATAACATATAAAAAAAAAATGGTTGGTTATGCACGTATACTTAGTTATAACTAATATTATTTAAATATTTAATTATAATATAAAACAAAATAACCAATGAACATAGTGTATAATAATTATCATTCTGATTATACTATCTCAACAATTAAAATTTAACATATCATCCATAGTAAAAGTTGTATAAATTCAATGGACAAAAGTCCTAAAAATGATAATAGTAATAATAATATTTTAGGGTATATTTAATTAGTTTCATTMACAATATTGCATCATTCCTAAAAATTTAGCTTGTACTGGGGAAGCCATTCTTATCAATTTTCTGGATATATAAGAGAAGATAAATTAAACAAAAAAATTAATTTATATAATCATTTAATAATATTTAGAGAAAAATCTTATATTAATTTACAACAATCAAAATATCCATATAAATAACTAAAATTTAAATATTAGAAGAGTTTCATATTCAATTTAAACAACTCAAAACTTTTGTAGTAACCAATAATAATATTTAAAGAAGTACAATTTTACCAAATTCTTTATTAACATGTGGTAAATTTATATTAATACCTAATTATCTTATATTTATTGCTTTGCTCATGATTTATTAATGGAATCAAATATGTTTATACAATTGAATCAAAATAAATAAATAATAATTCRATTTAAATTCCTTTTAAATTCCTTTTAAAAATAAATCTCCTGATTGTGCATACAATCAGAATATACAGATTGAACTAATCTTAAAAAAATAACTTTAATATGAAACAGTATCTCTATTCTATTCTTGAAATTGAAATAAATATTGATACTGGATTAACTCAAAACGCTCAATGCAAAGAGGTTGGTTAACGTGTTTCTTCTCACCTTTGACTTTTCTACTGTCGAAAACAATAACACTGATTTTGTGGATGTTCACATAGGAAGTTATTCCGTTTTTTCTCTTCACACCGTTTTCAATAATTTCTTATGGTTTCCACAGCCTTCATCGCTGTCGCTGCCGATTTCAACATTTTTGGGATTAACGTAAAAGCATACTCAAGGACACWGTGTGACTACCTACAAAACGGGCATCGACTTCATGAGATTGAAACAAAAATCCTAATCATATGCCTGATGAATTTATATGGTTGGGAGGCAGTCTATTATATGCTTCAGGTACACAACATAATATATTCTTAAAATGTACAGATGTGGCTAATCAAAATTTTGATTAGATGTTATAGTCTATGCTCTTACTGTATACATGCAAGCTAACACTTAAATAGAGTAGTAACAATTATATTAATACAATTAATATTTATTTATAGGTGTTTAATAAACKTATATAAAATATTTGAGATCACGCACTATGGCAGATCCGATTGACCCAAAAAACATTGAAGATGACACAGTAAAAACACCTTGTGGTAAGAGGAAGATGTCATCAGACATGATTCCAGAACCGATTAACGGCTTAAAAAAGCTTAAAGAGAGCAAAATACAACCAGGTAAATAATCAATGAATGTGTAGCAATAATCAACATAATATCCACTCTCTAAATTTAGTTAGTTAAATTATTGAATTGATTTAATCGAATAATTGAACATTTATATTTTTAGACAAGCTGTGCCAATGCCCCCAAAAATGTTCAGAGCGTGTACCGCAGCGATCCAAGGATGAGCTGCTAAAAATGTTTATAGAAATGGACAATGAAGATGTACAAAATACATTTTTATTGAAGATTATAAAGGCTCGACCTGTTGCGAATCGATTATTTAGTAATGAAATGGCTAATGGTAAACTATTAAGAAGGATTYATTGCAAGTACAGAATACCTAATTTCCTATCAGAGAATTTTATTTCATGTGAGTTGTACAACAGTTTCTCATAAAAAAATTAATAATTTTTGAATAATTTTGGGATATTTTAATAAACAGGTAACTTAAAGATATTGAGTGATTTGGTTATTTAACCTAGATATCTTGTTCTAACAAATTGAATTTATATCAACTAAAACGATTTCTATGAAATAAATAATAATCAAAAATATATTATGATCTTTTCTATAAATGTACTAAAAAATATTATTTATTTTTTGTGTATAAACTTAATTGATTATTCAATAGATGATACGATATAATGAAACAATCCCATAAAATCTATACATTTTAAACTTTCTTGATTGATTATTAAACCATTTACAATTGATACGTCATGCTTATTTGATCCCTTACTCTTGTCTATAACTAAATTATTTTTACATATAATTATATTATAATTTACATTTTCTGTTTTTTTTATCCAACATCAAATCGCAACTCTAACTTGATATATTCTAGTTTAATTTGAAAAACTAATACAAAGTATTTAAATATATTTCACAGATTTAAATGGTGACTCCGACAAAGATGAAGAATCAGACTTTGATGAAACACCTTCAGTCACGTCTTTGAATTCCAAAGAAGAAAATAACAAGTTCTTAGAAAATAATTTAACAGATACATCAGGAAAGTTCTTCAATTGTTACAACTGTGTAGATGTTTGTCAAAAAGCATTTATCAATCTGTTTGGTATATCAGATAAACGTTTAAAAACTGTAAGAGAGTTGTTGATAATTAAAGCTCGTAAAAAGCACCTGAAACGTATGATATTAAAAGAAGAAACCCAAATAGAAGTATCATTAGCTAAACATCTTGCACAAAGTTGTTTGCCGTTCATAGGAATTTTTAACAATGAAGATAGAAAGAAAGTATATGATCTATTGTTGATCGTTATAAATAATAATATTAATGTAGTACATAACTTCTTTTCCAACCAGTTATGGAAACCAGAGTATATTAACTATAAGTTATCTAAATGAGTATAAATTATTTAATAATAATAGTAATAAAATAAATACTTACTTTGATGATTTCTAAATGTAATTCATTGGATTAGTATCTTGTTTAAATCAATTGCTAGGTACTACTTTATTATAAATACAATTCAATATTGCTCTGAATTCCTAGAATTATGATTTTATGTAAATGTCTATAATTTTGTGCTTGTTAATTATATGTCATTTTTTTTGTATACATTCATATACTGCAGTTAGTTTTTCAGTTGACTGTAAAAAAAGGAAAAATATGTACGGTACAGCGTCTGCCAAAAAAAAAATGTAGCATAAATATTCAATATTATTTGTTTATACTTTATATTCCATGTTATACATATATCAATAAATTCATCTGCTTGTTTATAAATTTATAATAATAATTAAAGACTGATTATTTAATTTAATTTATATATATATTTATGTATCTACAATAGTCATTAACATAATAACATGTCAAAAACATGTTGTGAATAAGTAGCCCTAGCCCCTAATGTATATTTTGACCTCCTAAAGTACCATCCGTATAACATTTTGTTACAACTTTGTTATTGTTAGGTAGGTCATTGGGGAAAATAGGATAGTATATTAATTTGAGAGCAACAATAATCATTTATTGCTTTCAGTTCTCACTAGTACGATTATGAGCATAACTAAATGTTTTTATAATTATTAATGTTTATATATATACTTATAATATATAAATATAAATAAAGAATTACACTGTAGATCATAATTTTATATTTTACATAAAATTGTTCAGCATTTTTAAAATGCTACTTATTGACTTCACAAACATACAGTGGAACTTTTACAAAATATTCGTAAATATTTTTGAGAACCAAACCTAATTTATTCAATTCTATTTAAAGAAGTTCTACATAATACAAATTTTTTTTTCACTGTAATATAATTGACACATTTCTGAATAACAATAAATATAATACAAAAAATAATAATAATGATGACATTTTATTTTTGTACTCCTAAAGTACCATCTGTGGACCAGATATTGAAAAGTATATAAAAATAAGAAGACTCTACCCCAAAAGCAAATACAAATAGGTTAAAATATTAAAAAATCATAAAATAAAAATGTGGGTTAAATGATAATATGATTATTATAAATATAATTCATTTTATAACTAAAAGTGGATCAACTTTCTTTACACCTCACTTAAAGATAACCAAAAACAGCTAATATAAAAATTTTAAACTATATTTAAAAATAGTGTTGTAAATATAATGCTTTAATCGATGCAATCATAATAATTGTAAAAGTTCTAATATATATATATATATATAATGAAATTATGAAGGATAAGTTAAAATTTAAAGCCATTTTGTATCACAAAAAAAACTACACCTAATAAATTATAATATACCCTATGTATCAGTATCAACCTTGTAAAGTACTTGAGTAAAATTATTCAAATACTTTTAAAAATAAATATCTATACCTATATTTGAATGATTTTGAAAAATATTTTTTATAAGACTGAATTTAGTATATATCTCTATACTTACTTGAATTTAAATACATACCATTAAAACAATTTAAAAGTAGTATTTAATATAAAAAAAAAGTAATTCAATACTTTTACTCAAATATTTTACAACACTGTTAAGTGCTAATTACTTATTAAAATCCACCTCATCATAATAAGTAATTTTATCTTCACTATTATTGTCTTTAAGAACATCAATTGCTTCATTTAATATATTTAACTTTTTTTGACTTGTTTATTTTCTTTTCTTAGAGTAAGTAGAAACTCTTTTTTTCTCTCCATATTTAAGTCATTATAGTAGAGAAATGTTCCATCTGCATCATCAGTTTGAATATTATTCATCTGAAACATATGCGTTAATACATAAATGGCATATTATTTTATTTTTAATGCAACATTTTGTAACATACTTTGTTCATTATATTCTGTTTTCAGTTTGAGAATTAGTGAATTTAACTATGTAAGTCAACAAGCTGTAAATACAAATTAAATGTATATTTTAGTTAGGTAATGAGAGTATTCCCCAATGTTTTAAAAAATAGATTTTAAATTAAATACATTTTTAGTTATAATATATAAATTACAATAATCATAATGTAATTGTATATCTACTTACATAATACTTGAAATCACAGGAATATCATTTCTCATTGTTTGTTAAATTACTACTTGCATTATAGTTTTCGTGAGAATAATATTTAATGTTTCATTAACTATCTAGTTCAAGTTTAGAACATTAGAAATATAAACTATAAAATATTTAAACACAAAACTTCAGTACTTCACTAAAAACAATAGGTACGTAACTCAATGTAAGATTAAATACGCACAGTAAATTATAAGTGATAAATGGGTTGTAAAATGGCGGGTTAGCATACCTATTATCTATAGTGCTCTAGTTCTTTCCATTTAAGATTGTGATCTATGTATATTTTCATATTGTTAATGTGTATAATATTAAACCAAAGGTATAATTATTAAGGTTGGGCATGATTCTCAAAAAAAGTATATTTAGATACATACATGATACATATTTTATATTTCCAATTTATTAATTAAATAAAATTATGCTGTCTCTACATAAATACTTATAGTCATACAGTGGCGTAGCCAGGAATTTTGTATGGGGAGGGGGGGAGCTAAGTCTCACAAAAAAATTCAAAAAGTACAAATAACATATTTCTTTTATTTATGTTTTTTTTTTTTTTAAATTATATACATGTATAAACATTTTTATTTATTTATTATGCCTACAGGCTCCAATCTTTTAACTGCATCCTTCTTGGCTATAGCCTACAATAGCTAAAATAAACAAAGTCAATGGGGGGGGGTCTATAGTCCTCTTAGCCCCCCCCCCTGGCTACGCAACTGTAGTCATAGATATTAATAAATAACACAATCAGTTAATACACATTATAATAATATAACTAAATACACTAGTATTTATAAATTACATAATTCAAATCATAAACTCAACTCTTCATTTATGACTCAACTTTTCATTTCAATTTTATGTGGAAAGACTTTTACCTACTCATATTTAGGTCGCGTATTGATATTTTATGAGAACGGAAAGTTTAGTTTAGTTCTTAATTGTAGATAGGTGACCACCATAGTTCATACGAGCACTTTGATTGAAAGTTTTAATTTTCAAATTATCTTACAAGTTATAACATTGTTACATTTACTTTAATATTTAAGTGGCCAACAAATTTAAATCAAATATCTTGGTATTATCCAATATCTTGTATCTTTTGGCAAAATAAAATACATGATTCTAGCATAAAATGATCATATATATAATAATTGATACTTTAAAATTATTATGTATCATGATACAAGGTACAATGGGTTTTATATATTTAGAAGGAAAATCCTAAAATSTTGTTTTCAGTAATCTTTTAAATCCGATCAACTATAAAACGAATAACTTTAGACCCAGAATTTATCTTGTTAATAGTGATTAGAATTTAGAATTATAATATACTAAAGCTACTCAATAAAAAGATTTGAGAAAAAACGATAAAATTACATTCAAAACATTGAAATTACATCCTAGTATATTTCTATTAATTATCAAATTTAATAACTAAAAAAAATAATTACAAATACCATTCACTATAATATGTACGATATTGTATTGCTAAGGTATAAAATTCATATTATGTGTACAGTTTCTGATATATTACACTACATTAATTAAATAATATATAAATTTATTACTAACATGTTTATATCTTTATTATGAAAGTTGAAAGTACTAAATTATAGAATACATTACGTTTCTTCAGTATCTACCTATTAAAGACCTATTACTTATATCGATGTTGGTATACCTACTTCACTGTGGGTTGAAATAATTTTTACCAATAATAATTTATTACAAACATAAATGAATGAAATAATTATATATATTGAGGTAATATGGCAGTCCCATATACAGGGGAGGTTAAGGGTTCAACCCCCCCCCCCTAAATTGATCCTGGATACGTGTTTGTAATATGGTGCAATGTTGCAAGTTCATATGAATTATTTTTTTAAGATTCATTAAGATCAACATATTCAAATAATCTTATTATTATATATTTTAAAGCTTTAACTATTAAAATTTAAAATTTAATGATTTTTTAACTTTAAACAGGTACAAAGAAATCGACATAATGATATTCAAGAAAACTAATGAATCTGTTTATTATATTCAAATGACAAATTATTATTCATTCGTGTATACAATGTTTTTAGTTGTTATATTAAAATACTGATGCCCACTGATGTATAAAAGTGGATACCACTCTGATGTACAGTAGTCAGTAGGTGTTTGTAGAGGAATAGAAATCACTTATTAGCTTTTAGTATCAACTATCACAGCTCGGCAATTATATTATATACATTGTTGTTAAATTAAAAAGTACTTATTAAAAACTTGTTTTGAATTTCCTACAATCCTTGGCTAAAAAAAACAAAGTGAACATTATATAAATACCTATTTAACAAAATAACTTGCAATAAAAAGTGTGATGTTATAAGTTATGGAAGTTTAAAATTATGCTCCACTCTGAATCTAAAATTTGTAAAATATTATATGACAAGATAACAATAGTACCTACACTAGGTATAGTGCATAGATATTTAAGAAACAGATTGTGGATAAGGATCTACTAAGTAGTCATAACTTCAAGATATTTGAGTATTACAAAATGTCAATTTTATAGTTGGTACAATATATTTAGAGTTGCTTGAGCATTTGTTGCTATACTCAAATTTTTAAGAAATCCTTTGGTAAAAAGTTTGTCGATTAAACATAGCCTCCATAGCCTATTTTTACAAAAATATATATTTATTGCATTAGTTGTATTAATATTTACTAACTTATGATATGTTTCAAAATAATTTTTATGGTATTTTAATATTTTAAATTGCACTTCATTTTGTTTTAGTTTTCATATTTTTTTTATTTATCTGTTTCTAAAACAATCAATC